CCCCCCCCCCCACCCCCCCCTAGCCCCCTCATCGCCCCCCCTTCCGATAGTCCGGCATATCTGATAATCAGGCACCCCCTGGGTCCTAAAGGTGCCGGATTATCGGAAGTTTACTGTACTTTGCATTCCCCCTGCCCCTTGCTGCCTCGATATCAGAGGCAGCAAGAGGCTGGGGGGGGGAAGGGGGGGGAGGAAGCAGGAGCTGGTGCTGGGAAGAGCCGTCTTAAAAGCTGGTTCCCTCCCAGCACCATCTCTGCGGTGTGAGGGGGCAGAGTCAGAGGCCCAGAGGGGGGTGAGGGGCATGTTTGGTGGCCAGTCTTCAGAGGCTAATCGAATCTGAGCAGTCCCGAAGAGCTGAGAGGGAGAATTCTGCCAGCAGTTTCCCTCTATTGATAAGTTAGTGAAGACAAAAGATTAGGATGCAGCTCTAACCTATGAGTGGGTGGGATCCTTTTCCCAGACTTCAGTGTCACCCTGCTTTATGGATGAACAATGTGTAAGATTAAGATTCTGTCACGGGTATTTTTAGCAGAAGTCAGGAATAGGTCACAGGCAATACACAGACATTCATGGAAGCCCACAACCTGTCCCCCACCTTTACTAAAAAGTAACTAGGGATGGGGAGATGGAAGGACAGATAAGAGTTCTACCAAGGCCTGCAGCTGTCTAAACCCCAGCTGCTTCTCACACTGACCACCAGACAGCTGTTCTAGCGACACTCACACCCTGGACGCTATTCCAGCACCCCAGCGCTGGCCACTGGCCAGCTATTCTGGGGGCCACTGCTCTACCAGGCTGACCACCTGTCAAGCAGTTCAGGCACCCAAGCATCCCCTGGTGGCTGCTCCAGCCCCAGAAGAGTCACTGAGGTCCCAGAAAGTCATGGAATCTGTGACCACTGAGACAGAATTGTATCATCCTTAACAATGAGTCACTGAGTTGGGTTTTTTTCAATTCTCCTGCTGTGGCTGCGCAGGAAGGCAAAGTAGTTGTGATGGCAGAGGCTAAGCACATTTGCAATTTGTCACAGTGATTCCTAATGCTCCTGAATTATTTCCAGCGCTGGCTTGTGGAGCAGGGGAAACCCAGTGAATCAGGTTTCCCAAATTTTCAGGGAACTTAGCCTATCTGCAACTCTAGAGCGCGCCTCGGGCAATTTTTAACAGTGCTGCACATCACAAGCTCCCACTCACCACTAGCCAGCTGCCTGTAAATAAGACCGCTCCTCTCCTAGACAGTCAACACAATCTTACCACAAGGAAGGCATCACAGTAGTATCAACAGTAGCATGGTCATTGTGGTTCATGAATGTTAACAGTACTTGGTCTCATTCTTTCTGCACAGCATGAAAAGTTTAATACAACTGTGTTCTGTGTTCTCTTCTCTTTCATTCCTCTGATTAAGCAAATCAGAGTACCTGA